AACTTTCAGTTTCCTCATCAGTAAAACTGAGGTAATAATTCTATCCTGGTCATAGGGTTTTGTGAAGATTAACGGAGATAAAGCACATAAAATGCTTAGCAATGTATCTTCCACATAGGAAATGCCACACATACACACACACACACACACACACACACACACACACACACACACACACGCATAAAGTGTTCATAGTGACTAGCCCAGAAGAGAATTGGAAGTTTGGTTGGAAGGCCTTTTCCATAAAAGGCTCTCTCATAAAAGACTGAAGCCTCTTACTCAGGTCTTGCTGCTAACTTGGTATCTTTTCCTTGATTAATGGATTTTGGGCAGAATCTGTTAGGTCTTAGAACCCCTGCAAGTTGTTTCAAGGTTTGTTAGACCTGGCTGAGGTGTGCTTAACAGGCCTCTTATCCTTCAACTTCTCTCTGTAATCTTCTTCCCACCTTGTTTCTCAGCTTCCACTCTTACCCTCCAACACCATCTCTTCACAACACAGCGGTCAGAGTTATTCTTTTATTTTTCATTTTTTGAGTTGAAGTCTCACTGTTGCCCAGGTTGGAGTGCAGTGGCATGCTCATAGCTACCACAGTCTCGACCTGCTGGGTTCAGCAGACCTCAGACCTTCTGCCTCGGCCTTCCAAGAAGCTGAAACTACAGGCACATGCCCAGCTAATTTTTTTAATTTACTGTAGAGATGAAGTCTCGCCAAATTGCTCAGACTGGTCTCGAATCCCGGGCTCAGGCAATCCTTTCACCTTAGCCTCCCAAAGTGCTGGGATTACAATCATAAGTCACTGCAGCTGGCTATTATTCTTTTCAAACTCAGTCAGAGCACATCACTCTTCTCTTCAAAAAGCTCCCAGTAGCTTCCTCTTTCCACCAGAGTAAATGCCTGACATCTGGGAACTGATCTGACACAGCTATGCTTCAGTGTTGGTAGAAGTTGGCCTGGTGCTTGTAGCCAGGCCAGTTAATTCTTCTAGTGGACACAGTCTCACAGCACACCAGCATCAGACAAGGTCATAAACAAGTGAAACACAAAAAGGTCACTACATAATTTTGTCTACGCAGAGACAGGAACAAGGTCACTGTGCAAATCGCGAACTACCAAGCATCTTTCCCTCTCTGCTAATATGAGTGACTGCTGCTTCTTTGCCAATTATAGCTTTATTCTTGTTCTAGTCTGTCCATCTTATAGATAATACTTACTGAGATACCCAGTCACAGAAATGTCCCTGCTTTCTGACAGCACTCTATCTAGAGAGCAAAGCCTGGCTTCCTTAAGCCTTCTCTCAAATCGCCCGAATCCTATTACTTTCTGTCACTCTTCCTGAGCTGTCCCAATGGTTTCCCACAGCACCTGCTTCCTCACTGCAAAAAGTAATAAGCCGAACTTAAGTTCAAGTGTGTTCCTGATGATCTCTGGCTGGAGGGCATTGAAAAGCCAGAGTCTTTACAATTGTCTACAAAGTTCCACAGTGGGTCTCAGACTTTATCATGCATCAGAATCACCTGGAAAGCTTGTTAAAACAAATTGTTGGGCCCTGCTATCAGTTTCTGGTAGAATAAATCTGGGATGAGTTCTTAAAATCTGCATTCTAACACGTTCCAGGTGATGCTGAGGCCGCAGGTCTGGGGATCAAGCTAAAACAATCATTTATCTGGCCGGGCTTGGTAGCTCAGCCTGTAATCCCAGCACTTCAGGAGGCCGAGGCAAGTGGATCGCCTGAGCCCCCAGGTTCGAAATCAGCACGGGAAACTTGGCAAGACTGCGTCTTTACAATAAATAAAAAAATTAGGTGCGTGTGGTAGCACGCACCTGTAGTTCTGGCTACTTGGAAGGTAGAGGCGGAAGACTCGTCCAAGTCCAGCAGGTCAAAGCAGAGGTGGCCATGAGTGTGCCACTGCACTCCAGCCTGGGTGACAGAGTGAGACTCCAATGCAAATAAATAAATAAAAGTTAAAATAATTTAAAATATAAAAAAAGAGAATCATTTATCTAAGCCATGTGTCCCTCCCCCTTATTTCTGTGAGTTAACCTCCTACTTCTGCCTGTTCATCTCTTCATTCTACTCCAGCCACACTTGCTATGTAAAGCCTTCCTGAGCACAGACGGGTCTTAGGACTTTGCTTTGTCTGCCTTCTAATTTAGAATCACTTACTCTCTCGCTTCTCAGTGAGTCCTACTCCAATCTCCTATCTCTGTCTTTCTTTCTTTTTTTTTTTTTGAGTCAGAGTCTCACTCCGTTGCCCAGGCTGGAGTACAGTGGCACGATCACAGCTACCATAGCCTCGACCTGCTGGGTTCAGGTGATCCTTCCGCCTCAGCCTTCCAAGTAGCTGGAACTAAAAACATGCACCATCATACCTGACTACATTTTTAAAATTTAATTTAGAGATGGGGTCTCGCCAAGTTGCCAAGGCTGGATTTGAATCCCTGGGCTCAGGCAATTCCCTTGCCACTGCGTCCCAAAATTCTTGGCTTCTTATCCCTGTCTTTTAAGAATGTATTATTTGGTTGGGCTCTGTGACTGACGCCCATAATCCCAGCATTTTGAAAGGCCAGGTGGGAGAATTGCTTGAGCCCCAGAATTCGAGACCAGCCTAGGAAACATAGCAAGATCTCATTTCTACAAAAAATTTAGCCAGGTGTGGTGGTGTGCACCTGCAGTCCCAGCTACTGGAGAGGTCGAGGCTACAGTGAGACGTGATTGTGCCACTGCACTCCAGCCTGTGTCACAAAGTGAAAAAAATTAATTATTCTCCACAATGCTTAATCAACCTTCTAGCATGCTGAATAATTTACTTGTTTATCATATTTATTTTGCTATTGGGAGCTAGTACACTATAAACTTAAGAATGACAGCTTTAAGACAGCAACTATTTTTGTCTATTTGTTCATTGCTATATCCTCATACCTAAGAAAACAGTTGGCAAATAGTAGGTGGTCAACAAAAAAACACAACTTTTTTTTTTGAGTTGAAATCTCACTCTTGTCACCCAGGCTGGAGTGCAGCGGCACGCTCATGGCCACCACAGTCTCAATCTGCCGGGTTTAGGCGATCTTTCCTCCTCAGCCTTCCAAGTAGCTGAAACTACACGCGCACATGCCACCACGCCCAGCTAGTTTTTTTTATTTACTGTAGAGACAAGGTCTCACCAAGTTGCCCAGGTTGGTCTTGAATCCCCAGGCTCAGGCAATCCTCTCGCCTCACCCTCCCAAAGTGCTGGGATTACAAACTGAACCACTGCGTCCAGGAAAAAAAAAAGAAAGTATTTTAATGAATAAATGCTCTTCCCAAGTTTTCACTTTCTTTTTTTAAATTTTAATTCTTTAATTTTTTTAGAACTCTCTAGTGAAACTGAGACAGGCATAGTTAATGTAGTTTAGAAGTAGTTAGGAATGTTTTCTTAGGCAGGTCTAAATTAAAATATATTAAGTGTTCTGTCATCTTTCTTATCAGTACACGACCCTGACCACCTTGTAGGAATGTGTAACCATTATAGTAAATCACAGAATTACCTAAAACACAGACACGATGTTCTAAGTGTTATGTCACACTCCCAGTGGGGACTCCAGAATGTTAGGTCAGGCCTGCTGGGGGTATGGGTGTCTAGTGTGCAATCTGATGCCACATGAAAGATGCAAATAATTGCACAGAAGTTATTAGAAAATATAGTTTATTGGCCGGGTGTGGTGGCTCAGCCTGTAATCTCAGCATTTTGGGAGGCCAAGGTGAGAGGATTGCCTGAGCTCAGGGGGTTTAAGACCAGCCTGGGCAACTCGGTGAGACCTCATCTCTACAATAAAGCACCCACAAAAAAATAGCTGGCCATGGTGGCATGTGCCTGTAGTTTCAGCTACTTGGAAGGGTGAGGTGGAAGGATCACTTAAGCCCAGCAGGTTGAGGCTGCAGGGGTTGTGAGCATTCCACTGCATTCCAGCCTGGGTGACAAGAGTGAGACTCCAACTCAAAAAAAAAAAGAAGGAAAGAAAATAAAATTTATTTTAAAACTTATGAGAGAGAGATTGGAGATGCACCTTGCACCTCCCCAAGGTTGGGGAGGAGGCCAAAAGTTAAGAAAACATAGCCTGGACATGGCTCAAAGAGCACATGGCCACACCATAGCTTAGCAAAGCAATGGTCTGTTTTCACTTTCTTGAGTCACAGTAGCCCTACCTATGAATCTTCCTGTAAATACAATCACCTTCCTGCCTGCCTAACCTCTTGGCAAGTAGAATATTCAGCTCCTGTGAATTTTCCACATCAGTGGATCAAGCCAGGGACCCAGAGCGGGTAAGTAATTCACAGGACAAGAAGACCAAACAGCGCCAGAAAATTACTGTGTTCTCCATCTCTTCGCCTTCCTTCTCCAGATGATTTCATCCATCAACTTTCGGATTAACAGTAGTCAATATCTGTCTGGGGAAAGGGGGGCACACCTCATCAACAAGGGTACCTGCACAATGAATATTTGTATACCTAATCTTTAACTGTACCCCACAATTTTAAAATAAAAATATATAAAAAAAATAAAAATTAAAAAATCTATTTTTTCCTCTTACCTCCAATAACATTGTCAGAGCGCCCCTTAAAAAAATAGAAAAAGGGCAACGCCTGAACCCTCTGCACCCTGGCGCTGCTGTCCTGTCTCCACTTCTCTGGCAAGATTCCTCCTGACTTTTTCCCTTTCTACTCCCTGAAATGTTGCTTTTGAAGTTCCTCCTTCCTAAATCCGACTAGTTTTCAATCTTGATCTTTTCTGATACTCTGCAGAATTTAACACATCCTCCTAGAAATTCTCTTCAAGAACACCGCATGTGGCTTCTACCGCCTTTACCGCTTCGACTCGGGTCCTTCCTAGTCCTCTCTTCGTAGATGTCCCTGAGTTTCCTCGGATCATAGTTTCCTTGCTTTCCTTGCTGCCAACGTGTTTCCCGCCGCGCCTGCGTCACCTGCCTGCTGCGGCTCCTGCAGGTGGGCAGCCCCATTCCGGGCGGAGCCGCGCTGAGCCCAGGGCTGTGAACGCTGCGCGCGGGTGGAATTTCCAGTCCGGGAGGGGGCGGAGCCGAGGACAGTGGGGAGGTTTGGTCCTCGGTGGCCTCCGTCCTGCGGCCTGCCCGGAAGAAAGTCTAGGGGCTGGGGTCGCGGGACCCGGCTCCCTGATCAGGCTGGAGATGGAGTTCGACTGCGAGGGGCTGAGACGGCTGCTTTGCAAGGTGCGGGCCGCCCGGCCGGGTCTGGGGCCTCGGAGGTCTGGGGGTGTCTCCGCCTTTGACCGGGCTGCCTCCTTCGTGCGTTTCCCTGCCTTGTCGTGGGGCACGGAGCGGGAGCGGGCTGGTCTGATGTCTGCTGGGAGCAGCGGCCCCCGAGAGGCCCGGGGGATCCGAGGCCATCCGCCTCCTGGGTTGGGGCCTGGGCTCTGGCTCCGCCCGCTACTCCGAGGTCCCCCGACCTCCGCCCGGTGCGAGTCCTTCTGACACCCCCAGTTTCACTGGCTTCCAACAGCTCCCAGCGCAAGCTGTCCCTGCAGCCACGCCTTTCTCTCTGTTGAAATGACCTGCCCTCCTCCTTTTTCTTTGAATCAAAGCTCATCCTTTGTAAGACTCAAGTCAGAGTAAATCCCTGGGAGATTGGATCACTCCTTTTTCTCTATCTGCTTTCAAAAAGATCGATGATCACATTGTGGAGCAATTATTTATTGCCTGACTCCAAACCTTACTCCTGCTGGGAACCCTTTAGACTGTAGAGTCTGTGCTTTTGAATCCACTTCACCTAGCACTATGCTTAACGACGAGGTAGGTGCTATATAACTGCCGTGAATGAAAGACCCGAGTAGATTTAGGAATGAAGCCAGTGTTGGAAGGCCCAGGAGAGAACCTCTTAATGTTGAAAGGTTGAGGCATGGGAGGGCTGACCTAGAAATCTGACCTACATTTCCGGGGCCTTCCTAGCGCGAGTTTCCAGGTCAGACCGCAACTTCTGACCTCTGAATTAAGGCGCTCTGATTCCTCACCAGAGTACACTCAGAGGAAATCCCCTTTTTCACCAGTTTGCTAGTTAAGTGATTCTTAATACTTCTTAAGAGTTTCTCATGCGGAAACCATGCTTGTGTCTTTGTTGGGGCAGCTTGCACATCTGTGGGAGGTTTTGAAACACTGTGATAGAAATTGTTTATATCATTGACTTTAATGACTTCATCTACTGCAACTGATGTAGATCTTGTTGGAAAAGGAGTATCATGCTTGGGATGACTACGCTTTCTGTCTCCTCTTCAGAGACATGAAATTAAAAGAACCATTCTATCAAGGTTTAATGTGAGGAGGATGATGAACTGTCCAATGGGAAGAATTTTTCAAGTTGAGAGTAGAAGAAGGACTGCAGCATAATTTTGGTAGAAGTAGAATGAAAGAAAAAAAAACAGAAAAGAGACAATGGTTTTCTTAAAGGTGAATGTAAGTAGGCTAGTAGAAGAATTTTTTTTTTCATTATGAGTGCCTAGCATGGTGTCTGGCACATAGGTGCTTAATATGTGTTTGTTGGATGTATAAATTAAGGAAACTCATCAGAAACAAGTCATTTCAGTAAACATCTCTTAGGTCCCTTAGCCCTTGACTAGGCAAATAATATCATAGTTTAATATCTAGAAATAATTTTAGTGCAGAAAAATCTGTGAACAGTACATTTAAAAATCAAGCAACTGTATGGAGAAAGTGAAAAATCTTAACGAAAACAAATAAAACCTAAATAAATAGGCCCCAACTTCAAGGATGTGAAGAGTCATTTCTCCCCAAATTGATCTATAGGGTCAATGTAATTCCAATCAAAATTCTAACAGGTTAATTTGGGAACTTATCATACTGATTCTAAACTTCATTTAGAAGTGCAGAAGACCAAGAATAATTTTGACATTATTACAGAAAAAAGAATAGATGAGGAAAATTGCTCTGCCAAATGTCAATACTGTAGTAATTAGGATTTAGTGTGGTATTGGTATAGAACAGGCAAATTAACCAATAAAGCAGAATAGAATCTTAGAGTCATATTCACATATTTGGAAACAGTATAAAGGTATTGCGGATAACTATGTAAGAGAGAATGCAGAGACAGATGATAACCCATAAGGGGGAAAAATGAAATTGTATTATTACCTTACATCAAATTTAAACATTCCCAGTGGATTAAAGACCTAAATATAAAAGACGACTTTAAAACTACTAGAGATGGCCGGGCGTGGTGGCTCAAGCCTGTAATACCAGCACTTTGGAAGGCTGAGGTGAGAGGATTGCCCGGACCAATGGGTTTGAGACCAGCCTGGGCAACTTGATGGACATCGTCTCTACAATAAAATAAAAAAATTAGCCAGGTGTGGTAGCGCATGCCTGTAGTTCCAGCTACTTGGAACACTGGTGAAAGGATTGCCTAGGCCCAGCAGGTCGAGGCTGTGGTGACCAGGAGCATGCCACTGCACTCCAGCCTGGGGGACAGAGTAAGACTCCATCTCAAAAAAAAAAAAAAAAAAAAATTCCTTCCTGCTAATAATTTATTTTATGAACTGATGCTACAAAATATTTCTCAATGTGTCTTACTGATGCCAGGTGGGGTGCAGTGTGTTTTTCCATGGGTTCTTTGATTCTACCACAGAAAGGAATTTCAGAGCGAGTCCAAAGTATAGTTTTAGCTAGGATTTATTAGAAAGAAAAAGACATACTCAAAGAGCCTGGATGCCTTAAGAGAAAGGATGTGTTCTTGCCTTTGACAAGAAACTTTATATGCTTTTACAATGGTGCTTAAGAAATCATGAGCTAAGAGTGCAAGGCTGCAGGTATCTGGTCACGAGTTTTTATTATCATCTCTCAACCTTTAAGGTCACAAGGACCTTCTAAATAGTGAAAATTACTGTCCAACTAGATTTAGACTTTTCTTAGAACATCATGTCTTATGTACATGTTTTATGTAATTCCCTATTGTTTTTTTCTGTGATTTACTGCACTGATAGGTCTCACTTTCCAGTTGGGTGAAGGTCCATTAACTGATAAGAAAGGTGTCTGAACACTTACCCTATTTTAATTTAGACTTGCCTAAAAAACCTGCCTAACTACTTGTAAACTTTTCTTTTTGTTTTTTAGTCAGAGTCTCACTCTGTCGCCCAGACTGGAGTGCAGTGACACACTGCTAACGGCCACTGTAGCCTCGACCTGCTGGGCTCAGGCCATGCTTCCACCTCAGGCTTCCAGGTAGCTGGAACTACAGGCGTGTGCCACCATGCCCAGCTAATTTTTTGATTTACTATAGAGGTGAGAGGTCTTGTAATATTGCCCAGGCTGGTGTCAAACCCCGTGGGCTCAGACAGTCCTCTTGCCTCTGCCTCCCAAAGTGCTGGGATTGCAGGCATGAGCCACTGTGCCTGGCCTAAACTGTATTAACTATGCCTGCCTCACTACATTTGAGCAAGGTCATACAGTAGTACCCTTAACGCTTATAAACATCAGTCTCCTGAAAAAATATACTGTAGTACAGCAGGTAAATTTTAAATTTTATTAGGCATCTCAATTTTTTCAGTCTTACTGGTTTCTATAAGAGTATAACTACATTGGTTTTAGAATCTCCTGGGCCAATTTTCCCTTATAGTGAAGTGCTTGAACCTTTTCTTTTCAGCACATGGCACTGTCTGAGGCACATTTCCTTAGAGAATGTTATACAAGATTCTTAGTGGTGATGAACAATATGGAATCTATCTTAATATTACAATATCTAGCTTAATAAAGGTACTGTGTTTCATATATAGTGAAAATAATATTTTTATTATATTTCTTAAAATAGGTCCCTTTTTTAGGGGACCTATTAGCAAATAGGCATACTTATATAAGGCAAATCAAATATTTAACTAATACTGACCTTTGGGTTTTAAAGCCCTGAGGAACTGTGCTTTTACTGCCTTTTAACAAACTTTTATAGCAGTCTTGCAATTAAGTCAATTTTAGTGTAGTCCTATGTAACTATTAATAATCACATTTGCAGAGAGTATAAGAATGTAGAAAATAGCTTATAAGTGGAAAACAAAACAAAAATTGTATATGTTGATAATGTGTGTGTGTGTGTGTGTGTGTGTGTGTATTATACAATGCAGCCTTTGTATATTGGTATAATGTTTGGAGTTGGGATGGCTTCATTCAATTTTGTTTACCTGGAATCACAGACACTGAATCTAGGACTCACTTCATTAGTCTGTTGTAGTTAATACTGATTGATTCTTACTTTTGATGCTCAGTGTTGTGGATCATAACTGCTTTCTATATCTACCCTTCTCATGTAAATCTACCAATTTGCTAACTTTTATCCAAAGAACAAAATTCAGCCAAAGACATACCCTGTGCTGAGTGCTGTGGAGAAGTATAAAAATGGGCAAATGATTCCTGCCCTCAAGTTGTCTATAATAACAGACTTTTTCTCCTGTCAAATTCTTCCCCATTTCTATAACAATCTTCCACCTTCTCTATAATTTTCTACACCATTTGTATGCTGAATTGTAGATTCAGCTCCTCCAGAAGGCCTCTCTGTAATTTAGATATGTTTGTGTCAGTTCATAGTTTCCTGCCTGTACTTATTTTATCTCACTTTTATGTATATAAATCGTAATATCCTTATTCCCACCTATTGAAGTTGGTAGGCAGTAAAGCTATATCTCTTACACGTTAAAAACTGAAGGCTTAGAGAGAGGAAACAGAATCCGTTAGCATCATCCTCCATTTTCTCCCAAACTCCCCTAGTCCTAGGCATCTATAATCTTCTTTGTGTTTCTGTGTATTTTCTTATTCTGGATATGTCATATACATGGACTCATACAATATATGGCCTTTTGTGTCTGATTTCCTTCATTTAGCATAATGTTTTAAAGCTCATCGTGTTGTGATTTGTATCAGTGTTTCATTCCTTTCTGTGACTTTATTCATTAATCAGTTGCTGGACGTTTTTTCCTATTATGAATAATACTACTATAAATAGTTGTGCATAAATTTTTATGTGGATATGGGTTTTCATTTTTCTTGGGTATATATCTGGAAGTAGAATTGCCAGGTCATATGGTAGTTCTATGTTTAATCTTTTGAAGAGCTTCCAGACTGTTTTCCTAAGCAGCGACACCATTTTGCCTTTGGCAGGGGTGTATGTGTATGAGAATGTATGAGAATTCTGATTTCTTTACATCCTCTCCAACACTTGTTATTTTCTCTTTTTGATTATAGCCTGTCTTTCGATTATAGTATGAATCCTCCAACTTTTTTTTGTTGTTGTTCTTTTTCAAGATTCTGGGTCTTTCAAGATTTTCATGTGAATTTTAAAATTAGATTCTACATTTTTGTTAAAAATAAATGCCAGCTGAGGTTTTGATAGGGATTACATTGATTTTTTGTCTTCAGATCCATGAACATGGATGTGGTTTCCATTTATTTAGGTCTGTTTTATTTTTTTTCAACAATGTTCTCTAGCTTTCAGAGTCTAAGTTGTATATTTTGTTGAATTTATTTCTAAGTATTTTATTCTTTTTGGTGCTGGTATAAATGCAGTTTTCTCAAATCCATTTTCAGAATGGTAATAGACCTTGAATATACTTTTTTTCTTGCATTTACTCTTCGCCACAAGTCTAGGAGGTATTATTTCTTTTTGCAGATGAGAGAATAAATTCAAATAATTTAAATGATTTAGCCCTCAAGGCAACTAAGTTAGTATTTCTGGGTGGACACCTGGATAAATGAGGAGGCTGTTCACTTGACCTGACTGCAGACCCTTGCATGCTTTTCTTTTCCCTTTGACACTCAGGATGCAGTATCAGGAAGGTGAGAGGGAAAAGTCAAGGTGTCTCAAGTTAATGAGCTATTCAAAAAACAGAGTTTAGCCGGGCTCGGTGGCTCAGCCTGTAATCCCGTGCCTTTGGGAGGCTGAGGTGAGTGGATTGCCTGAGCCCGCGGGTTCGAGACCCGCCTGGGCAACGAGACCTCATCTCTACAATAAATTTTTAAAAAATCAGCCGGGCATGGTAGCGCATGCCTGTAATTCTGGTTACTTGGAAGGCTGAGGCGGAAGGATCTCTGGAGCCCAGCAGGTCGAGGCTGCAATGGCCGGGAGCGGCCACTACACTCCAGTCTGGGCGACAGAGTGAGACTCCAACTCAAAAAAAAAAAAAAAGAAAGAAACAGAGTTGGATCTTGAATAGTGATGAGAAGGATGATTCATTCTGTCCTGTCTCTTACGCCTTCTGGATGTATTTGGAGGCAGTTTGCTTCAGTGATCAAAAGCCCAGTTCCTGGGTTTGAGCTCTGGCTTCACCATTTAATTTGCTTTCTGACTCAGCAAGTAACTTTGATTCTCTAGCTTTCATTTTCTTCTGTAAAGTAATGCAGCTGTAAGGCCTCCTTACCTCATAGGGTTGTTAAAAAGATTAAATCCGTCTGGGTGTGGTGGCTCAAGCTTATAATCTGAGCACTTTGGGAGGCCGAGGTGATGGGATTGCCTGAGCCCATGGGTTCAAGAACAGCAACTTGGTGAGACCTCATCCCTACAATAAAAAAATTAGCCAGATGTGGTAGCCCGTACCTGTAGTTCCAGCTACTTGGAAGGCTGAGGTGGAAGGATTACTTGAGCCCAGCATGTCGATGCTGTGATGGCTGTGAGCGTGCCACTACACTCCAGCCTGGGTGTTGGAATGAGACTCCAACTCAAAAAAAAAAAAAGATTAAATCAAATGCTATTCACATTTGTAAAGCTTGTAGCCCAGGGCCTAGCTCATGGTAAATGTTCAGTTTTTCAGTTCAGTGTTTACAACAGCTGTTCTTTTGCTCATAACTTTATGCTTATTCCATGTTCATTTTTCTCTTTTCAGTACAAGTTCAGGGATCTAACCGTGGAAGAACTAAAGAATGTAAATATGTTTTTCCCACATTTCAGATATTCCATGGACACTTATGGTAAGACTCATCCTCTAGTTTTTGCTGCATTATTTGAACTACTAATTTATCTGGTTCTAGAGAATTACAAAGTCATAATTTCTGATTTCACTATGTTTTTCCTCAGATTTTGAGCTGTACTTTGTGACCTGTGATTTCTGGGGAAATTAAAGTTAATTCAATACACATTGTATTCATTCTCTGTTGCTGCTGTAACAAATTACCACAAACTTAGTGTCTTAAAAAGCACAAATGTACTATTATAGTTTTTTAGGCTAGAAGTCCACCACACATTTCTATAACTTAGAAATTCAACTAGACATTCAACTTGACTAAAATCAAGGTGTCAGCAAGATCTGGGGGAGTATTCTGTTTCCTTGCCTTTTTCAGTTTCTAGAGGTCCCCCATCTTCAAAGCCAGCAATGTTGCATGTCTCTAGTCATTCTTCTAGAGTCAATTTCCTTCTCACTACAGATGGGAAAGGTTCTCGGCTTTTTAAGGACCGTGTGATTAGATTAGACCAACTCCAGTAATACAGAATAATTTTCCCATCTCAGGCTCCTTAATTTATCTTTTAAGGCTAGTTAAGTGATCAGGGTACTTAATTTAATCACATCTAAAAAGTCCCTTTGCCAGGTAAGGTGACGTATTCACATGTTCCAAGGATTAGGTAATGGACATCTTTGGAGCACCTTTATTCTGCCTACCACATATATGATTATTTTAAATTATTAATAAAAAAGTGTTATATTGTTTATTTACAGTGATGAGCTGATTATCTAAGAAAGATTTTGCTTTATTATCGTTCAAAAAATTTGGACTACAACTTGTAGTTGGAGATAACTTTTTGTTTTTTAGAAAGCAGGATTTATTGAGATATTGAAAGGACAGAAAATCTCCCACAGTGGGAGGGAAATACATTTTATATCATGATCTCATATACACATAACTAAAATATTGTGTCCGCTCTGGCTTTTTATTTTCTCTTCTGTTCATCTCATTTCATTCCATTTAAAAACAATTGCTGGTTGAGACTCACTACATTGATTTCAGGGCCCAGGAATTAGTCAAAATTAATGGCTTTGAAAAACGTTTTTATTCTACATGTGTGTTTTAAATTTGAATTAGTTTAGGTTAAGAAAACATATCTAATTTAGGTACATGTATATATAATAGACGTCTTGAGAAGTTCTTGAAATATGGCTTAGCACAATAGCTCAGGCTTGTATATGTGGAAGAAAGTATTAGATTTAGATTTGTCTGTGACTGTCCTCTTGATTAGCACCTAGTTATTTGGTGCTACATAAATGCCAGGAATAAGGGCTATAATAGCTACTATTTATTGGATATACTATGTTATCTTAAGTATTTTACAACCAAAACTGTGTGGTTTTATTGTCTTCATTTTGTAAACAGAGGCTCAGAGTTTAAATAGCTTGCTCAACTCTTCGTCTTACATAGCTAGTAAGGGATGGGGTTGAGATTTGTACCTATGTCTGTCTTGTACACTGTATGAATACTGCTTACTCTAATAAATTGTCTTTTTTCATCATATGGATTTATCATTTTATTGTACCAATTCTTATTCTCTTTTCTCTATCTAGAGAATACTCTGGTGCCATTAAATCCTCAAACCATAGTATTAATATTGTCAGGTATATTTTTTAAATTGGAAGCAATGACATCATACATCATAATGAACATCTGTTTTGGCTTTTTGAATAATTTGATTGGAAAGTGAATATTCACACTTTTTTTTTGTGAGTTGAAGTCTCACTGTTGCTCAGGCTGGAGTGCAGTGGCATACTCATGGCCACCGCAGCCTCGGCCTGCTGGACTCAGGCGATCCTTCTACCTCAACCTTCCAAGTAGCTAGAACTACAGGCGCACACCACCATGCCTGGCTAATTTTTTTTTTTTATTGTAGAGACGAGGTCTCACCATGTTGCCTAGGCTAGTCTCGAACCTGTAGGTTCAGGCAGTACTCTAGCCTCTGCCTCCCAAAGTGTTGGGATTATAGGTGTGAGCCACTGTGCCCAGCAAATACTCACACTTATAGGTACTCAACCACATTTAATGGTTATTCTGTGTCCCTAAGTAACCATCCCGATTCCACTCCTTTTTTCATTCAGTTTTTTCCATGGAGTGGTCATTTCACCCATTGTTACTTTTCACTCTTAATTCAAGGTAAATGCTTGTACTTATGTATTCTCTTGACACTTGTGTTTTCTGTGGCAGCCTCTGCAATGATCTGAATATTTGTATTCCCCCTAGATTCATATGTTGAAATTCTCACCCAGAAAGTGATGGTGTTAGAGCCTTTGGGAGGATCTTTGGCAGAGATCTCATGAGTGGGATTAGTGTCCTTAAGGAGGCCTGAGAGAGACCCCTGCTTGCTTCCACCTTGCCCTTCCCACCATGTGAGGACACAACAAAAAGTCAGCTGTGAACTGACAGCTCTGGAAGCAGACATCAAATCTGCTACTACCTTGATCTTGGATTTCCCAGCTTCCAGAACTGTGAGATATAAATTTCTGTTGTTTATAAGCCTCCCAGTCTATGGTATTTTGTTACAGCAGCCTGAACAGACTGAGACAGCTTGGTTTCCTCTTTTCCCTTTCTGAAATAACTTATTTTTTGGTAATAGAATTAGGTCTCGCTATGTTGCCCAGGGTGGTCTTGAACTTCTGGCCTCAAGTGTTTCTCCTACCTCAGCTTCCCAAAGTGCTGGGATTACAGGCATGAGCCACTGTGCCTGGCTTCCCCTTTCTGATAGGTTATCAAGTCAAGTCTATTTAGAATTTTTTTTTCCTCTGCTCATATAGGATAGTGTTACTGAGGCATTAAGAGACTGCATTCCAAGGTTGTTTGATTGTTTGAAACCAGAGTTAGTGCTTTCTATATTCAGTCCTGAAGTTAGGGTATTGGTTCTCTTCCAGTATGTCCCAGTTATTGATAAGAAGGTTGAAATTGAAGAGATATGAATATTGAAAAAAGGTTGACAATAATAGAGTTAGAGAAATTAAATAATATAATTATCAATCTTTCTAATAAAAGTTTGCTTTAAAAACACTGCTAACAGTTGTTCATCTAACTATAAATGTGACTATAATTGATTTGTGACATGTGACAATTATTTAATAATGACTTCACATTTTATAATCCTCTTTTTTTTTTTTTTTTTTTTTGGCTTGAGGTCTTATTCTGCTGCCTAGGCTAGAGTACAGTGGCATAATCACGGCTCACCACAGCCTCGACCTCCTGGGCTCAGGCAATTGATCCTTCTGTTGCAGCCTCCCAAGTAGCTAGGCAAGTGCCACTATGCCTGGCTCATTTTTTTATTTTTATTTTTTGGTAGAGATGAGGTCTTGCTATGTTGCCCATGCTGGTCTCAAACTCCTGGACTCAAGCAATCCTGCCTCAGCTTCCCAGAGTGCTGGGATTACAGGTGCCCGGCCTAATACTTTACTTCTTATTAGGGTTTTCACATTATCTCATTTGATCCTTTGACAACTTTGTAAAGCAGTCTTACTATCTTTGTTTTGTAGATGATGGAAGTGAAGATCAAAGGGATTAAAGTCACCCAAAGTAACATGACTTAAGTAGGGAAGGTGGGCCTAGAATTTGGGATTTCAGTATCAAAGTCCTGTGTTTTTTCAGCTACCCTCACTGCTTTCTAAGTGAACAGCATCTGATCATTTGCCCTTTTTGGCAGGTTGACTCTTTCTTAGATTATGTTTTTTAGAGATTGTGTGGTGTGTGTGTGCACACGTGCACGAGTGGGTTCATGTGCACACACATGTGAGCACTTACATACTTCACTAGAGTTCTTTCTGCTTCTAATTGTATGTTTTGGGACTTTTTTTATTCCAGTTTTTAAAGATAGTTCCCAGAAAGACCTGCTGAATTTTACTGGCACTATTCCTATAATATATCAAGGTAAGTGTGGAAGTTGAATACATGTGAAGTTCTAAAAGAGCAGTTCCTTTAATAAGAACTTAAATTTGCTTATGCCACAATATTCTCAAAGTATTTTTACATACATATGATCCTGTGTACAGGACCTTGCTTAATAGGATCTGGCAGGATTCTATTTCAGTCAAGGAACTATTAGAATAATGTCAACAAGTTCAATTCAACAAATACTGTCAACTTCTGGGTCCACTACTCTGCTCAGTTCTGGAGTACAGAGGAGAGTAAGACAGACATAGGCCTGCCTTTGGAGAGAATAATCTCTGTCTTCCAACCTTTTGGAAGGGCCCCACCTTTATCTTCATTACGTCTAAATTTTATTCTCCCTCCTTTTTCCTCTCTGGGATACAGCATTCTTCATTCCATAGGTTAAACTGAATGTTAGCCTGGTCTGATTTAGCTAAAACCACACAACTAGTATTAGGCTAAAACTTAAAATCTAACAGAAAATTTTTAAAACACAGGGATTGTTAAAGCTCAAAGCAACACATTATAGGGTGACCTAACAGATTAACATAGCTCAATGTTTACCCAAAAAGAAAGAAAAATAATCACTAACTTCTCCTATACTCAACTTTTAGCATTTGCACAGACCTATTTCCTCCTGTGTTCAATAACAACTAACCTTTGAGATAGATATCATAAGAAGGCTACTTATTTATACTATGACTTAAAGATTGCCAGTGAATCTTTATACGGATGTATTCCAATGTATTTCTCTAAAATGGTGGCTGAAATTACACCATTTAGAAATTTATTTCTCTTTTAAAATGCAAATAATCCCAGGAAGAATAACATTTAAAATCACTAACATATAGTCCTGTGTTTATAGGAAATTTCTTGTAAGTATCTGTTGAAAGATTGAGTTAGTTTATTTAATTACTGCTGGCAACACTGATGGCTTAGGAATAAATTAGTTTACTGGGCGTTTGAAAGAGGACATATACAGTTGGGCTTGGTGGCTCAGCCTGCAATCCCAACACTTTGGGAGGCCAAGGCGAGTGGATTGCCTGAGCCCCTGGGTTCGAGACCAGCCCAGGCAACTTTACACGACCTTGTCTCTACAATAAATAAATAAATAAATAAATAAGTTAGCTGGACACAGTAGTGTGTGCCTATAGTTGTGGCTACTTGGAAGGCTGAGGCAGAAGTTTCGCTGAAGCCCAGCAAGTCAATGCTGGGATGACTGTCAGTGTGCCACTGTACTCCAGCCTGGGCGACGGGTGAGACTCCAACTCAAAAAAAAAAAAAAAAGAGGACATATGCTAAAACGTAGACTGAAAAGGATTTGGAAACCAGATAGGGAGACAACAGTGGAGCTTGCTATCTCTTAGAAAGAGTTTAGCATTATGCAATGGGAATATGTTACCCAGAAGACACCAGGAAGCTGAATTTTGGGGGACTTCTTTCAAAGTAGGCGCTTCTTTATACTGACCCTTAGACCATTGCAAACCCTCCTTAACTTCTCCTCCCCTCTGTGATGACTTGTTATTAGAAGTACACTCGTGTTTTGTTCTGCTTCTGTTTCTGTCCCACCCTGACACTTCCTTTGCCCCAGCAGACACTAGTAAATGCATGGGAATTCATTGTGTTTTTATGAATAGGAATGTGATTGGAGACCAGCCATGGGCTCCATGCAGAGATTGCAGAATGAGGTAGGCAAAACTGGCAGAGAGTTGATTTTCCTTTTCCTTCCTTGTTCCTCCACTGCCATGCTCTCCTATTGTTTTCCGACTGCCTTGAGAACTTGACTCAGACCTGTTCCCCATTTCTTGTATTCTACAGTTATCCTGGTTAGAAGCAAGAAAGAAAGGGAAAGAAGGGAGAGCTAGGAAAGGAAAGAGGGAGAGGAAAAGGGAAGGAAACTGATTATGGTAATTCATTCTGAGGAATAAAGGCCATTCTGACCCACCTCAGTGATTTGGAGGTAGTTGCATATTAACAGAGAAGCCTATTAATTTAAATGAATTACTGCTTAGTAGCATTTTAGTTTCTAGGATGGTGTAGGGAGATAACATGAGGGCAGAAAAGCTCTTTCATTAGCACTCTGCCTGTCCTGCAGCCTTCAAGCTATGTTATTGATCCTTTTTTTTTGAGTTGGAGTCTCACTCTGTCACCCAGACTGGAGTGCAGTGGCTGCTCCCGGCCACCGCAGCCTCGACCTGCTGGGCTCCGGCGATCCTTCCGCCTCAGCCTTCCAAGTAGCTGGAACTACGGGCGTGCACTGCCACGCCCGGCTGATTTTTTGATTTATTGTAGAGATGAGGTCTCGCTGCCCAGGCGGGTCTTGAACCCGCGGGCTCAGGCAATCCACTCACCTCAGCATCCCAAAGGCGTGGGATTACAGGCTGAGCCACCGAGCCCGGCTGTTATTGATTCTTATCCTGGAGTCTTCCCCAAGGTAGTAGTGCTACTGTGATGTCTTATTTTTTTTTCCTAGTACATTTTTCTTTTCTTTTTTTGAATCAAAACCTTGCTCTGTCTCTCAGGTTGAAGTACAGTGGTACAGTCACAGCTTACTGCAGCCTCTGATTCCTGAGCTCAAGCGATCCTTTTGCATCAGCCTCCTGAGTAGCTGGGAGTACAGGCACGTGCCACCACATCCCTAGCTGCTTTGTATGTGTGTGTGTGGAGAGAGAAGAGGTCTTGCTATGTTGCCCAGGTAGTCTCAAACTTCTGGCCTCAAGGGATCCTCCGCCTCAACCTCCCAAATGCTGGGATTACAGGCATGAGCCATCACACCCAGCCCTTTGCTTTACTTTGGACTAGAATTATATCAACTAAGTATGAATGAATATTAGTTATTTCCTGCTGATTTGGAAGTCAGAATGCATTATCTGTAAGATGAGTCAATAATAGAGCCTCTCTCAGAGTTGTGAGGCTTAAATGAATTATGGTAAATAAAGCTCTTGACATAGTGCCTGGCACATAGTAAGTGCCCAATAAATGTTGACTGGTCTTATTTGTCTGCTTTTTTTACTCTTTTAGTTAACCACTTTTATTACTATAATGATAATACATGCTCATACTAAAAAAATTTAAACAATTGGGAAGGGATGAGGTTAAACTTGTATCTAACCTTCTCCTACTCAGTCCTATTCCCCAAATAAAACTATTAATATTTCTTTTTGCATATCTTTAGAAATTTTTGTATTATTTCTTATACATCCAAGATTATATTAGGTCATGATGACACTTTTTTTTATACACCTGGCGTTTTTTCTGCATATACCTGTTCTTTTTTTTGAGTCAGAGTCTCACTCTATTGCCCAGGCTGACTGGAGTACAGTGGCACGCTCACAGTTTCCACAGCCTCGACCTGCTGGGCTCAGGCGATCCTTCTGCCTCAGGCTTCCAAATAACTAGAACCATAGGTGCATACCACCATGTTGGCAAATTTTTTTTGTTGTAGAGATGGGGTCTTGCCAAGTTGCCCTAGCCAGCCTCAAACCCCTAGATTCAGGCAATCCTCGTGCCTCCACTTCCCAAAGTGCTGGGATTATAGGCGTGAGCCACTGCACCTGGCTCATATACTAATTCCTTAGAGATATGTATCATCTTAAGATGATATGTATCTAGACTTTATTTACATCTAACTTAAATTACATTCTTGTGATATAATTAGTTTATTTTTATGTAATTAATTTAGTTTTTGAGATAATGTCTTGCTCTGCTGCCTATGCTGGAGTGCACTGGCACTATCATAGTTTATTGTCAACCTCAAAGTCCTGGGCTCACTTCTTCCTGTCTCTGCCTCCAGAGTAACTGGGACTACAGGTGCCCACCACCACACCTAGCTTATTTTTTGTAGAGACACTATGTTGCCCAGGCTGATATCGAACTCCTGACCTCAAGTGATCCTCCTGCCTCAGCCTCCCAAAGTGTTGGGATTACAAGCACGAGCCACCACGCCTAGCCCAATAACTTAAAATCTGAGGTCTCTGTACCAGAAGTTCTGACTCTTCGGTGCTGAATTACTAAAAGCTAGATGGCCGGGGTAGGAGTCAAGGTATTTGCTGAACTGGAAAGAGGGAAGGAAGAAGAGACTAGAGAACACTAGTAGTGAGACCCTACCAGTTAGACATGGGAATCTGGGTCACTGGGTGCTTTGCCAGGCATGTACAGTTAACATGCATGAACTTTACTGGTGATGGGCATTGATGGAGGCAACAGATCCTTGACCAACCTTCACAGAGGGGATACCTTCAGTAGATATTTATTTCCTTTTCTTTAATATGTAATGATTAATAAAGAAAGTGGCTACATCAGCATTGGGCTACCATTCCAGCTGTATTAGTAAACATTAGGGACATTTTTTTGTCTAGACGCGGTGACTCAAGCCTATAATCCCAGCACTTTGGGAGACTGAGGTGAGGGGATTGCCTGAGCCCATGGGTTCAAGAACACCCTGGCAACTTGGCAAGACCTCATCTCTACAATAAATCACAACATTACAAAATTAGCTGGGCATGGTAGCCTGTGCCTGTAGTTTTGGCTACTTGGAAGGCTGCGGCGGAAGGATTGCCTGAGCCCAGCAGATCAATGCTGTGATGGCCGTGAGCATGCCACTGCACTCCAGCCTGGGTGATGGAGTGAGATTCCTACTCAAAAAAAAAACCAAAAAACATTTTTTTTACATTGCCTAAAACAGTAGCTTTCAAATGTTTTGACTGTGATTCATAATAAGAAATACATTTTATAGCTAACTAGCCTATATATATGTATATCTAAAATTACCACCTGGCATGCATTCAATTTTCAATTCCATTTTAAAATATTGTTTACAATCCACTAAATTAATTTCATGGGCCATTTATTGCGACCACTGGTTGAAGAACACTGGTCTGGAATATACCACACATTAGTAACTTTTGAAGAAATGTGATGGTGTGTCTTGGTCCTGTTGGTCACTTTGTGGTGCTAAGATGACTTGTATAATCATAGGGTTATCTATGGACCAACAACCATGGGCATGTCCATACCCATACTGCAAATACACAAAAGCAGAAGAGGAATATGGTTCTGAGAATGACCAATATAAAATCAGTAGACCCCCAGGTACTGGAGACACTTCTCTAATGTACCGATTTTCAGTTCAAGCTGCACAATAGCTTTATGTGGGAAGCTTTTAAAAAATGTCCAGCTCCCATCCCATTGAATCAGGAGCTTTGGGGGCGCGGCCAAGATACTGTTGTATTTTTGAAGTTTTTAAGTGTTTCTAATGTGCGGACACAGCTATTATTGTGCTTAGGGGAGGAAGAAGCAAGATGAAAAAAGTAGCTTTCAGTGGAACGAGGTTTTCCTTAGTAAGAAAATAATTGTATCTGGCCTATTTCTAAAATGAATTTGAAGTAAAAAGTACCTTTCATAGTATATACTTACCTTGTCATTACTATTCTAAGCGTTCTTCACATCAACTGATTTCATCCCAACGCCTCTGTGGGATAGAGACTGTTATTATCCTTATTTTATAGAGAAAGGAATTGAGTCACAGAGAAGTTAAGTAACTTGCCTAAGTCACACAGCTAGTAATGTGTGGAACGGAAATTTCAACCCAGGCATTCTTGTTCCTGAGTGAAAGACATTTGCAATAAGATTATGAAAGCAGCAATAAATATCAAGAGATAGAATAGACTAGCTAAGGTAATATGTCAGACTCCTAGTCTAAGATTGTTTTTATGCTTATATTAGATTTAACTTTGGGCTTTCTGGCAACCAAGGTAGTCAGAGATTTTGGCTCTTGTTAGGCATGACCTGTATTAGAATTAGAGAAGCATACATTCAAGTTCTTGTCTCCACTCTGTTCTTAAGTGGCTTTTTTACTTCATTGTAGCCATCATGAACAAAGCCTACTTCCTTTTCTGTTAATTTAGTATACTAGAGTACTTCTTAAAAGTGGTGTTTCTTTTAGTGTTTCCAAGAGATGCATAGGTCATTTGCATCAGAATTTTCGGGAATGTGTATATGTGGGTATAGGTGTGTGTAAGATTGTTTAAAATGCAGAGTTAGGGGCCCCATCCCACATCTACTAAATCTCAATCTCTGGAGGTGAATCCCAGGAGTCTGCATGGCTTTGGGTTCTTCCAGTAATTCTGATGGACACTAAAATGTAAGAATTACTGGACTAGTGACAGTTAAGTTTCTTTTCAGCTCTAAGTTCAGTGTATCTAACTCAGCTTATGTGTTATAGTATCTAATTATTGAGCTCCTTGAGGACAGGTGTCAAACTCAGTTTGGTTCATTCATTTTTCGTTTGTTCAATCTTACTCATGTAAGAAACTTTTATTAAGCAGCCAGTATGTTAGGTACTTTTATACAGTTTCATATACTTGGTGCCTGGAATATAGAAATTAATTAGACATAATTCTTTCTAGAAGTTTACAGTGTAAAAAGAAAACAGACCTGTAATTTCACTGTAGAATAAGTATAAAAATAGAGGTATTCCATTATCTTTTAAGAAAGATGCACTATCTCTGCTTGGGTAGGGCAAAGAAAATTATATAGAGAAGATGCTATATCCCAGACTTCTGGCACAGTAGACCCTGCAAATATTTATTGAATTGAATTGTTTGAACTAGCCATTGTCTCAACTAAATTTACTTAAGTATTATACTGTGTTCTAATAGGAACATATGTCCAATGTGAATGTGGATGAAATGGGGGAAAGAGGCCTTGATTTACATTCATTCTTTATATATAAACTTGACTGCACATTTCTTAAAATGACACCTAGCTGTATAATAAATATAATAAATATGCTTCATTATTGTTTTAAGATGTGTTTATTTGTTTCAAATAGGTAATACATATAACATACCAATTCGTTTCTGGATTTTGGATTCTCACCCTTTTGCTCCCCCCATTTGCTTCTTGAAGCCAACTGCAAATATGGGGATCTGTGTTGGAAAACACGTGGACGCTCAAGGCAGAATATACTTGCCCTATCTCCAAAACTGGAGCCATGTAAGACCAGTTTCATTTTTCTTCAAAAAGCTTTCACCGTATTTTTCTGAATATTTATCTCTGATTATGGTGGTACAGATAAATGCTGCATTTTTTTTTTCAATGATATTTTTCATTTGGTCTTTGAAAGTAATTTGAAATTGAGCTCTGTAGGGTCACCCAAGCTCCAGAACCCTGATGATAAAGTATGTACAAAGCTACTCTCTCTGAGTTTGGGGAGACTTTGTTTGCTCCTTGTCTTTTTTAAAAAAATATTTTATTTTATTTAAGATATGTGGTACACTTCAGGATTAGGCAGATAAGTAGTCATCCTACAGGTAAAGTTTGGGCCTCCCTTTGGTCCCTGCTTTACTTTTTTGAGATCAGTTACCCTTATTAAAGTTATATGCCCCTCTTCCTTCCCCTGGCAGCATCCCACTACTGCCAAACTCTTTCTTATAGTTATGATCAATGTTCAGGGTCCACTTACAAGTGAGAACATGTGGTACTTGGTTTTTTATTTCTTATGTAACATATATATATGGTTTTGCCTGTTTTTTATTCTTACGTAATGTAATCTTCTGTGGCATGCTTTCACTTCATTATGTTTATGAAACCCATCCATATTGATCTATTTAATTATAGTGTTTTATGGGTCCTCACATTTTAATTTTGTATTCTGCCTTTTTCATTTACCATTGAGCATTTCTTCACGCCAAACTGTTTTTAATAAATATATGCTTTTAAATTTTTGCCTGATGATCTAGCATGAGGATATTACATAATGTAATTACAGATTGCCCTGTTGTGAGAAATTTAATGATGAACATCCTTAAATGTAAATATTTGTGTATATCTTATGTATCTCTAATAGTTTGATAATGATAAATCTCTAGGAATAGAATTATTGGATCAAAGATTTTCAGTATTTTTGAAGTTTTCTTAGATAAAGGCAAATTGGCTTCTAGAAAGTTAGACAAAATGTATTTCTGCCATTTGTAGACGAAAACATAGGAAGGTACCTATTCTATAGTACCCTTGCTCTCATAGATGGTATTACCATTAAAACTAAACAAGGTCTGGCTCATTGGCTGAACCTGTAATCCCAGCACTTTGGGAGGCTGAGGCAAGTGGATTGCCTGAGCCTGCAGGTTTGAGACCACCCCGGGCAAGTTGGCAAGAGCTTGTCTCGACTATAAAATAAAATAAAATAAATTAGTCAGGCATGGTAGTATGCACTTGTAGTTCTGGCTACTTGGAAGGCTGGGACAGAAGGATTGCCTGAGGCCTGTGGGTCAACATTGGGGTGGCTGTGAGCGTGCCACTGCACTCCAGCCTGGGCGACAGAGTGAGATTCCAACTTAAAAAAAGAAAAAAAAAAAACTAAACAAATATTTGCTTATCTCTATACATTGACTTACACAGATATACAGTATTCTCTCATTTTTGTAAGTAGTTTAAAAATTTATGAAAGGATAATTTATAATATATTTTTATATGCCCACAAAGTTGTAGGACTGAGGACTGGGATATGTCAGAGTTGAATGTGGTTGTAGTAAAGAATGCATTTGTTTCTATGGCCTTACTGCCCTCAATGCACCAAATCTCGTCTTATCTTGGAAGCAAATCATTGTTGAGAAAAGGATGCATTAGTATCATCATTTATTTCATAGACATCTTGTAAAAAGGTGTATAATTATGGATATATCTTGCTTTGTTTTTATGGTTTTCTGTTTTCCAAATATAAAACCTTTAAAAAGAAGAAAAAAGTAATAGAAAAAGAAAGGACATACACCAAATTTTCAACAGTAGAAGTTGACTTTTTACTTTATGAACTTTGTTTGCATTACTTGATGATGAAATAATATTGCCAGTTAAGTCCGGTGCAGTGGCTCATGCCTGTAATCCCAGCACTTTGGGAGGCTGAGGTATGAGTATTGTTTAAGCCCAGGCATTTGAGACCAGCCTGTACAACATAGTGAGATCTCTCTCTCTACAAAAAAACAAAATAATAACCAGGCATGGTAGCATGTGCCTGTAGTCCCAGCTACTCTGGAAGCTGAGAAGGATCACCTGAGCCCAGGAGTTTGAGCCGTTAGCACACACACCTAATATTTTGATTTTTTGTAGAGACAAGTTCTCGCTATGTTGCCTAGGCTGGCCTGGAATTCCTGATCTCAAGCAATCCTCCCACCTCAGCCTCCCAAAGTGCTGGGCTTCTAGGTGTTAGCTACCACTCTCAGTGGTAGTATTCTTTGCTAAAATTTTTGTGTAACTTTTTTATTTGTGTGTATCCTGCAGCCTAAATCTGTCATTGTTGGATTAATTAAAGAAATGATTGCCAAGTTTCAAGAGGAACTTCCCCTGTATTCCCTGTCATCATCTGATGAGGCACAGCAAGTAGACTTGCTAAACTATATTGCAAAGATCACTGAAGGTTTGTATTTTTGTCAGATTGCCTTGAGGGTTATGAATTTATAGTTTCTCACTAAAATCCTTTTCTCTCTTCTACTTGATTTTTATAAATAACTATCTATATGTATGTATGTGCTTTGAATTAGAAATTCTTGTACTTTTATCATGGGATATTACCATATAGTTCTGATGAATTTGGTTTCTTAAAATGTAAAAAATATTAGTTCCAGGTAAAATAATTCTTATTTTGTTCACAGTGACTTGATATACATCAACGATTCTAAATCTTTTTCACTATATGTTTATGCAGCTTTTTGGCTTATTCAATATATTGAACCAGAGGATCTATGATTCTTCATTGAGGATCAAGCCAAATACCCATGCTTAGAAAAATTTAGTAAGGTGTTAGACATTTCTGTAATGCAGACCAGAGCAGTAAGAGTCAGAATGTTTTCCAGAATTACAGAAAGCCTTCTTCTTTAGAGTCTTTTTGTTTCTCTATCACCCAGGCTGGAGTGCATGGCACACACTCATGGCCATTGCAGCCTCAACTTCCTGGGCTCACGCGATTCTTCCACCTCAGCCTCCCAAGTAGCTGGGACAACAGGGGTGTGCCACCACACCTGGCTAATATTTTGTATTTTTTAAATAGAGACGAGGTCTCACTATGTTGCCCAGGCTGGTCTCGAACTCCTGGGCTCAAGTAATTTTCCCTCTGTGGCCTTCCAACGTGGGGATTACAGGCATGAGCCACCACGCCCAGCCTCTTTAAAGTCTTATATAATACTTTTTAAACACTTAGAAAAATATTTTTAAAGGATAGCCTCTATTTCGTAGAATATTTAACAGGAGACTCCTGTATTTTGTGCATTCATTTGTTCACTGGTGTTTTTTTGAGTGCTAGTTATGGACTAGCATCATGTTTTCTTTCTGAGCTATTGAAGGCTGGTATATTTTTTTAAAGATGCCAAGAAGATTTTTGATACTAATTTTGAATTCTCAGGATAATGTACTTTTCTTTTCAGGTGTCTCAGGCATAAATTCAAAGAGCTGGGCAAATCATGAGAGTAAAACACTCAGTAAAGTTACTGTGGTTGGAGGTGGAGAGTTGGGTGTTGCCTGCACATTGGCAATTTCAGCAAAGGTATGTAAGCAGAGTGGTTATATGCCTGTCATAGTGCTGCACTTTTAGGCAGTTTATATTTAACATACAAAAAGTAATGGCTTCATTTTGTCATATAGGAAAATCTCATTTTGCCTTAAAATATATTTAGTAAGTTCACCAAAAAAAAAAAAAAAATAGCTGAAAGCTCTCATCAGTGATGTTGCTTCTTAATTAGCAGTTAGTCATGGAAGAAGCTTTGAAAAGTGATTTGAACAATGGGCTCCTCCTAATCCAAGGGAAACTTCAACTTGACATTCATCTGACTTACTCACAAATTCTTTTGTGTTTTCTGAATCATGCTGCTTTAATTAAACTCTTATTTAACATAATACTTAATTTTAGCTCTTTCAAAAATTAGCTTTTTCTTTTAAAGGATTGCCTTTTCTTATATAATTGCTTTCTTTTAGAATCAAGTTTCTGAGTTCATATTTTACACTCATTTAGGATTTATTTATTTGTTAATCAGTCCTTTTTACTAGATCTTCTCTATCTGAATTGTTTACAGAAAGGCTTCAGTCCTTTTGCAGAGAAGTTCAAAAGACCCGTCCACTTTTTTCCAGGGCCCAGTATCCTGGTAACAACATATCTTGTGTCTTTTGAGAGATATAGCTCAGAGAACAGAATAACTGTTCTATGTGTTTATTTGGTAGCTGGCATTAGTTTTTCTTTTATATGTAAATCTGATCGTTTTGCCATCTAAATCTTTTTCTTTTCATTTAAGACTCACATGTGTCTTGGAGGTGGGTTCTACTTCAGCAAATAATTAAATTATATCCAGGGAGCTAAAAAATTTTATATGCCAACTTTTGGCATATTTATAGTTTCATTTCATCTAAATACACAATTACCTCTTAATTAGAATTTAAGTTGTTTTTAGGCTTTGGTTTCTAAATAAAATGCTTCTATAAACATTACAAGTTGCTTATTTTCTCATCTGAATTTTTTTTGGTTCAACATAATTTCAAAAATAGTAGTGAGTCGGAGGGTGTGAATGTTTTTTATGGCATTTTTTTTTTGAGTCAGGGTCTCACTCTGTTGCCCAGGCTGTAGTGCGTGGCAGGGTCATAGTCTCAACCTCCTCAGACTCAGGCGATCCTTCTACCTCAGCCACCTGAGTAGCTGGGACTATAGGTGCACACCAGCATGCCTGACTAATTTTTTGTTGTTGTAGAGACAAGGTCTTGCTATGTTGTCCAGACTAATCTTGAACTTCTGGGCTCAAGCAATCTTCTTGCCTTGGCCTCTGGGATTACAGTGCTGGTATTGCAGGCATGAACCACTGAGCTTGGCCTCTGTGGTACTTATTACATATTGCTAGATTGCACTTCAGAGAGGCAGAATTAATTTATGCAGCTAACTATAACGTGCATATCATCCTGATTTTGGCAGCCCTAATAATACTGAGTTTATTAATTTTATTTGTCTTTTTTTTTCTCTTTTTTTTGGTAAGCATTGGAAGGCACCTTAAAGTCATGTTTTCTAACTGTTAGAAGACTGTCGCTGTCATTTGTCTCTGAACTGTCTTGGTGGAAAATTGTTTTCATTTTTATTTTTAAACATATTTTAATACAAGACACAGTATTCAAATTGCAACATATAAGTCATGTCCATAAATCACTATTTTGATTGCAGTAATTATAGTAGTTATAATAGTGGCAATAGTAGCAGAGGTGATAGCAGGTCATTAGCATTTACTGAATGCTTATTTGTTGCTGGGCACTTGTATAGACACTTGACTCATTTTTATAACAACACTATTGCTTAGGTATTGTTATTATCGCCATTTTACGAATGAAGACACCAAACAAAGCATAGGGAGGTTTCCCAACTTGCCCAAAGTCACACTGTTCATAAATGATGGAGTCAGGATTTGAAGACAGTAATCTACTCACCAAAGCCTGTATCCTAGGGCCTTACTACTCAGAAGTATGGTTTTCAGACTAACAGCATTGGCATCACCTGAGATCATGTTAGCAATGCATAATCCCAAGCCCTAACCCAGACCTACTGAAGCAAAGCCTGCATTTTAATAAAATCCCTGGTGATCTGTTTGCTTCACTGACCCCATTACATGGTGATCAATGAAAGCTTTTCAAGCTCTGCTTTAAGCCACTATATTATACTGCCTCATTATTATTGTTGGTGGTTAACATTTTGTTATTTCTTGTCATGAATATCTTATACATTGTATCATTATACACATGCACTAATAAACTTGTAGAATAATTTCTATAAATGAGATTGGTGTTTTGAAAGAGTTCTTACATTTAAATTGAATAATGTTTTAAATTTTTGATAGAAATTGTCAAATTATTCTTATTATCAGTTTCTTCTCACACCCATAATGCGTAAGAATGCTTGTAAGAACTACTGTTAAAGTTTTGGATTTTTGTGTGTCTTATAAATGATAATGGTAACTCATGGTTTTCTTTGCATTTTCCTTATGAGTATATTAATAGTAATAAAATAAAGGCTATGATTTAGAGAGGACTACTATGTGCCAGCTTGTGTCACATAGTTAATCCTCATAACCACATGTAGTAAGGCTGAGTTAATGACTTTCCCAGTGTTACATAACTAATAAATAGTATAACAGGGTTGTTTTCTTAACCATTACACTTTCTACCTTATAGTCTGGTAGATCCCTGAGTACTTACGCCCTTACATCCTAAGGTAGGAGAGATCCTCAGGTCTCCTACTATTTTGGAGAAAGACCTTTCACAAAGGTAAACTGACTCTTAGGAGTTTCCATACTGTTATGTACAGTCAGCCTACCATGCCACTCAGGGAGCCATTTACAGTCATGTGAAGTATTTTCCAGGAGGTCTCTGGGGAGGGTACAACATGATGATAGGATTTGATTTTAGATTTATGGCTATTGTTTTAAAAAGAGAAAACTGACATCGGTTGATTATTGCATGCTAGAAGTAAGGAACAAAATAGACCCGAAAATCACTCTAAACTCTTTCCTCATGAAAATTATGACATCAAAATGAAAACATAAACTCCAGAGCAATAGCAAACTTACTGAGTATGCAAGTCATCTTTATTACTCATCCCAGGAAAAGAAACCTGTAATTTGTGACTTCTGAGTTAAGCTCTGTTAGATCCCACTTTTTAGTAAAGTCTAAAGGACCACATTATTCAAGTTCATAGTAATTTCTTGCTTATATGTCACTATTGCTGTTATGTGACTTTTCCTTCTTAAGACAGCATATGAGACCTGTGTATTATCCTTTAGAACTCATGTCTGAATGAATTTAAATTGAGCAATGAGCCATGTTCATTGTAATGCCATTCATTTTCTTATTGTACCGTACAGGGCATTGCAGACAAGCTGGTTCTCTTAGACCTCTCAGAAGGGACTAAAGGAGGGATGATGGACCTTGACATCTTTAATCTACCTAATGTGGAGATCAGCAAAGGTCTGGCTACTCTGCTTAAATATGTTTCCTTATTTGCTCTTGTTTTTGAGTCCTAGAGTTTTAATGCTGAAAAGCATCTTGAAGATCACATAGTTCAAGTCTCTCATTTTGCAGATTGGGAAACTGAGATTCAAATAAGTCACTTAATCAAAGTTATACAGAGATTGTAACTGATTATATTTATGAGTCAAATGAGCAGAAAACATTTAGATTCATTCAGATTGGTCAGAAGGAGTTATTTTTGGTCTTTAATGTACACCCCAGGATAAATCTGTTTTCTCTGATTGTTTCTTTTCTCAGACTATATTGGTTAAGAACACTGATTTTAGAGTTTGACAGATGGGGGTGTGTATCCTAGCTCTACCACATTATAGCTCTGACATTTCTCAGATTATATAATCTCTCAAAGTTCAGTTTTCTCATCTGTGAAGTAGGAATAATACTTACCTCTTGGTATATAGTAGTGTTAAACCGAGATTAAGGAAAAAAATACTCTATTCATATTGATTTCGCTAAAAATATATTGTTAAAACAAATTTTAATAAGAACAAAAGGGGTTTGTGTCAGTAAAATTTGAAATGTTTATTTTTTCTCTCTCTCTTTTTTTTTTTTTTTTGAGTTGGCATCTCATTCTGTCACCCAGACTAGAGTGCAGTGGCACACTCACAGCCACCGAGGCCGACTTGCTGGGCTCAGGTGATCCTTCCGCCTCAGCCTTCCAAGTAGCTGGAACTACAGACACATGCCACCATGCCTGGCTAAGTTTTTGATTTACTGTAGAGATGAGGTCTTGCCAAGTTGCTCAGGCTGGTCTCGAATCCATGGGCTCGGACAGTCCTCTCACCTTGGCCTCCCAAAGTGCTGGGATTATAGGTGTGAGCCACCATGCCCATTTTTTAATTAAAAAACTTGCATGGAGCCGGACTCGGTGGCTCAGCCTGTAATCCCGCGCCTTTGGGAGGCTGAGGTGAGTGGATTGCCTGAGCCCGCGGGTTCGAGACCGTCCTGGGCGGCAAGACCTCATCTCTACAATAAATCAAAAAATCAGCCGGGCGTGGTAGCATGCGCCTGTAATTCCGGCTCCTCGGAAGGCTGAGGTGGAAGGATCGCCGGAGCCCAGCAGGTCGAGGCTGCGGTGGCCGGGAGCAGCCACTGCACTCCAGTCTGGGCGACAGAGTGAGATTCTAACTGAAAAAAAAAAAAAAAAGTTTGCATGAAGGGCTGGGCACAGTGGCTCACACCTGTAATGTCAGCACTTTGGGAAGCCGAGGAAGGAGGATTGCTTGAGCCCAGAAGTTCAAGACCAGCCTGGACAACACAGTAAGACCTCATCTCTAAAAAAAAATTAGCCCGGAGTGGTGTATGCCTATAGTCCTAGCTACTCGGGAGGCTAAGGCAGAAGGATCACTTGAACCCAGGAGGCTGTGGCTGAGGCTGCAGTGAGCTGTGATTGTGCCACTGCACAAGTCTGGGTGACAGAGTGAGACCCCAACTCAAAAAAATTTTTTTTAAAAAGAGGAAGTTTGCATGTATTTTATAATGTACATAATATATCGATACATACATATTTATGTAGGTAAACACCATATTTGGGATGTAGATTTGAAAATATTTTACCGGGGATACATGATCAAGGGGAGAAAAAAAGAGGAGTCAGTTGAACTAGAGTAAACGTATTTCCTAAAACCTTTCTATCAGGTTATAGGTAAGGTCAGGCTGTAACATGCTATCCTTTGCTTTTCTTTAAGTCCCCTGTATTTCTTACCATATTTTCCAAATAATATATAAAGATATACAGTCTCATAAGCCTGAAGATATTAAGAGTGGTCAGAAAAGTTGAAAATTATGGGCCGGGCTTGGTGGCTCAGCCTGTAATCCCAGCACTTTGGGAGGCCAAGGTTGAGTGGATTGCCTGAGCCCCCGGGTTCGAGACCCACCTGGGCAACTTGGTGAGACCTCGTCTCTACAATAAGTCAAAAATAAGCTGGGCGTGGTAGCGCGTGCCTATAGTTCCAGCTACTTGGAAGGCTGAGGTGGAAGAATCACCTGCACCCAGCAGGTTGAGGCTGCAGTGGCCAGGAGTGTGCCACTCAAAAGAAAATAAAAGAAAAGAAAATTATACCTATTGGTTATAAAAATTGGGTGTAATAGTTTTAGTCTCTGGATGCCTGTAGGATACTTTGGGTTCATTTTCTTTCTCTGAGAAGAATACCATAGTTGCTTTTTTTTTTTTTTTTTTTTTGA